TTGGTCATAATTACAATATCAGGTCTTCTTTTTTTGTTTATCCGTATATTCAAACCTCATTTTATAATCTTAAGTAAAGAGTTAGAGAATTCATCATATAAAAAAAGTTATACATTACTTTTAGTTTTATTCTTCTTTCATTCGTTTTATTCTTTCTGTCCTTTCTTTTGTGAAAAGGACTGTATTTCTATTATGTTAGAAGTTAGTAATGGTACTGATGTCATAATGTTCCTCAGAGGTCTAAATATTGTGTACCTGGAAACCATTTTCTAAAAATTACCTGTTATATACTGTATTAAACACCCAACTAAGCTATGATTTTTATCATTTAGAATTATTGCTTTTGTTATATTTATCTTTTATCTGACCACATGACTGAATGGTCTTATGTATGCTAATGTATATAATATAGCTAAGGAAAAATATCATTTGTAGATAGTAATCATTTTGTCTTCTTTTTTTCCATTTGTGCTATTTATTTCCCTCACGTGTTGAATAGAAGTACCAATTCAATGTTAAAAAAGTAAGATAGAACATCCTGTGTTTACAGGAAAATTAAGAGTATTTGGACATTAAAAACATACCCTTAAGTTAAGAAACCCCCTATTTTTAGGTTACAAAGTGTTTTGGTTTTTTTTTTTTTTAAGTAGCTGTTAAGTTTCAAAAAAGCTTTTGGGACCATGCTGTTCATATAGTTTTTCTCCTTTATCTTGGTAATATGTTGACATAGTCTACCATTTCTTGTTGTTTAACCAACTTGACAATCTTGTAAGTTCTATTAGCTCATCATACTTGGTTCTTTAATTATATATCCGGGTTTGACATGCTATTATACTTAAGAACTGGGGATGCATATTTATAAATGATATTGGTCTTGGTATTTCTTTGTTCTCTGCCTGTCTATGTATACTACTTATATCTGCTTCAGATTATGATAGACACAGAAACTCAGTTGGGAGTGTTTAGCATTTATCTTTTCAAGGTTCTGGAAGAGCATTATAGAACACAAATATTCTTCCTCCTTGTAGATTTGTTTGAATCACTCCAGCCTTCTGTATCTGAAACTTTTGATGGAGGAATTATGCATCTACACTAATAGAAACTATAGGGAAATAAGTTTAGCTGAGGACTGGTGAACTGAATTCAGAGAAATAGAACTATGCAACTAAAATTATAACACTATGAATAGTTGACATGTAATTGGTTTCTTATTTTTAACTAGAGGCCCAATGCATGAAATTTGTACATGGGGGTGTGTGTCTCTCAGCCCAGCCTGCACCCTCTCCAATCTGAGACCCCTCGAGGGATGCCTGACTGCCCATTTAGGCCCGATCCTGGTGTGATTGGGCCTAAACAGGCAGTCAGACATCCCTCTCATAATCCAGGACTGCTGGCTCCCAACTGCTTGCCTGCCAGCCAGGTCACTCCCTAATCACTCCCCTGCCAGCCTGATTGATGCCTAACTGCTCCCCTGCTGGTCCAATTGCCCCTAACTGCCCTCCACTGCCAGCCTGGTCACCCCTAACTGTCCTCCCCTGAAGGCCTTCCCCCCCAACTGCCCTCCCCTGCTGGCTTGGTCACTCCCAACTGCCCTCCCCTGCTGGCCTGGTTACCCCCCAATTTCTCTCCCCTGAAGGGCTGGTTCCCCCCAACTGCCCTCCCCTGCAGGGCTGGTCCCCCCAAATGCCCTCCCCTGCTGGCCATCTTGTGGTGGTCATCTTGTGTCCACATGGGGGTGGCCATCTTGTGTGTTGGAGTGATGGTCAATTTGCATATTACCTCTTTATTAGATAGGATGTTAATGACCATCTCTCATGACCAGAATCTATAAGTATTGTTTATCTGTTCGCTGAAACATTTCTAGCATTGTGACTAATGCAATCCCATAGTAGACACTCAATAAATTTTTGTTCATTCAATAAATAATAAAACAATACAAATAACTTTGTTTTGGTTGTGAAAAGATGTATCTTTAGGAAAATGTGAGAAAATTCTCGGTGGTATAATGTATCTATCAGAATATAAATATGTTAATATTCTTTACTAGGGGCAGAAAAATATATTAGCACTTTTGTTTCTTAGAAAGGTATGTGAGTAATTATATTCTCTCTGTTCTGGTTGCTATCCCAACACCAGAGTACTTTCTTATTAGATTTACTTTTGGAATCCAAATGGAAGTAGGGGAGAAGAGTATATGGTAAAAGAGAGAAGTATCTTAATAACAACTATTCATATATTGTTTTCAAATCATGCATGTTATGAAGTTAAGATTTTCCTTCCTGTCAGCAGATAAATTTCTTAGGAACTCCATCAGAATACTCTCAAGAAGATAAAAATTGAATTTCTCCAAATAGAAGAAAAACACTCAGTTCCATAGTGGAACAAATCATCTGGTAAACTTCCTTAAAATCATTCTTATTACTTTTAATATATTTGCATGAAATAAAGATAAAACAACTTATTTAAAAATTCTATAGTTTGTAATAAAATGATAAATTTAAATTGTTTCAGGTCTTAACTTGTTGATCCCACAAATTGCCATACTTTCTCTTGCCTTTTTTACTTTACAGAATCAGTTTCTTCTTTTGGAATAGACAAATCTTGCTAATCCTCAATCATTTTTTCTTTCCTCTCTTAATAGGTCCCGCTTGTTTCTAGCTTAACCTACTTTTTTTTTTTAATATGCTTTTATTCTTTTCAGAGAGGAAGAGAGGGAGAGAGAGAGAGATCAAAACATCAATGGTGTGAATCATCCACCGGCTGCCTCCTGCACGCCCCCTACTGGTGGTGGAGGCTGCAACCAAAGCATGTGCCTTTGGGTGGAATTGAACTCTGGACCCTTCAGTCGCAGGCCGACACCCTATCCATTGAGCTAAATGGGCTAGGGTTTAACCTACTTTTTGAAGACCTTTCTACCCACTGCTTTTCTTTTTCCAGCTCTTACAACCCTATTTTAATATTGACAATATTTATTGTAATTCTAGTTGTTTCCATTACCCCCCCCCCGCCCCGTTAGATGTATAGACTCCATTGGAGCAGAAAATTCACTATTTACTGTTGACCTCATAAACCCAGAATAATTTTAATAAAAAGTGACAATTAATGTTTTTCAATAAATGCATTTTTAAAAAGCATGTTATTCCTGTGATCAACCTAGCCCAGTGGTCGGCAAACTGCGTCCCCTTGAGTGTGGCTCTTCCACAAAATACTACGTGTGGGTGCGCATGTACAGTGCGATTGAAACTTCGTGGCCACACTCAAGGGGCCAAAGAGCCGCATGTGGCTCGCGAGCCGCAGTTTGCCGACCACTGACTTAGCCTGGAAATAAAACTTCTTCAAGTGGGCCTCAAAATTTAGTACACAAAGGTTGAATTCTTCTATTTGTTGTTGTACTCTTTACTCAACTGCCAAATTTATACATATATAAATGGAGAAAAAAAAAGATATGCCACTAATGTGTGGACTTGGAGTAGAAGGGAAGATTTATGAAAAGAAGTATAGAAGAATCATCACTTTGCATGTTATATTTACTTCTTTATTTCATAGCAAGCATGAATTTTATCAAAATACCCCTTCCAAATTTTAAAATTTATTTTCCTTAATTACAAAATACTACATAAAGAAACCTGACACGTTTCTGTTTATTGCTCTTTAAGGAACTTGAAGCTGATTGCTTTTTCCCCTGCCCCCTGAAATCTTACTATTATCTACTGGCGTAAAATCAAAAGGAAAAAACAAGAGAGAGAAGTTTCTTATTAAGAAAGACATTGGAAGGGTGACGCTGCAGTACCCATATTTCTCCTTGAGATTTGAGACTCAGAAACATAGGCTCATATACTGATTCATCACTGTCAACCCTAAACGAATTCATTGAGGTAGCCATTTTCTTTTCATGACTGACTTTCACAGAAGAGGTGCAAGGAAATAAAGACTCAGGTAATAATGGAAAGAGCAAAACTGATTAAATCTAAGTAAATTTATAGAAATGTTTACTCATCCTCTAAAACCTTTCTTTGTTTTCTTTCTTTGTTTTGTTAAAATTCTCACCCAAAGATATTTTTTCCATTGATCTTTTAGCGAGAGTGGAAGAAAGAGGGAAAGACAGAGAGAAACATTGATGTGAAAGAAACACATCGATTGTTTGCCTCCTGCACGCACCCTGACCAGGGCATTGGTTGCCTCCTGCACAGGCCTTGACCAGAATCAAACCCAGGACCCTTTGGTTCAAGGCTGATGCTCTGTCCACTGAGCAAAACCAGCTAGAGCTAAAAACTTTCTTAACAAAGTGAGATTATTTTTGTAGGTCCTAGGAGAAAGTATATTCTATATACACAAAAACAGAGTATGAGGAGCTAGGCTTCTGTTAAGTTTTTAACTACCTAGATATATAAAAGCCTAAGTGACAAGTTAACCACTTGACTGCTCAACTGGTAGCTATGATGCGCACTCACCACCAGGGGGCAGACGCTCAATGAAGGAGCTGCCCCCTGGTGGTCAGTGCACTCCCACAGCAGGAGCGCCTCTCAGCTGACTGATGGGCGCCAGACACCAGGCTCAGGGCTGGTGAGCTCAGCTGCCGCAGTGGCAAGCCTCTCCCCCCTCCACAGCAGCGCTACTGAGCGGTGGCGGTGACAGCAGGTGCAGCAGGCCAGATTGAGTGGGAGCAATGCGGTGCCTGGCCTGGGCTCAAGCTCCTCCCCAGGCGCCTGCTGCTTTGTGCACTACTGCATCCCCTGAGGGGTCCCAGATTGCAAGAGGGTGCAGGCCAGGCTGAGGGACCCCAACAGTGCACAAATCCGTGCACTGGGCCTCTAGTTGGCTTAATAAGTCTTCGTGTCTAAATTGTAGCTCCAAATTGTTTTTAATGGCATATGCTCAAAACTACCATAGGAAAATATTTTTTTAAAGTTATTATTGGATGGTGGAAATATGGGGTGGAGTTAGCCTTAGAAAAATGAGAGCAGCATTACTTTTTAAAGAACACACACTTGTCTCAAGTCAGTATTGCTCCACAAGACAGGGCTGACCAAGACGGAACAGAAAACAACATGAATGATGTGAAGCTTGCTGTCCTGGGTGGTGAAGGAACAGGCAAATCTGGTGAGTGGTGGTATTTCCTCGGGCATGGTGTAAAGTGCAGATAGAGTGAGAAATATATTGATGTATATATAAAACTTGATATAATGATATAACTACATATTGTGTTTTATTAGCAGTTTTCATTTTATAAGCAAGTTAGGCAATTCACTGTATATTTAAAGAATTTTTAGACAGCTTAAGAAAGGTAACTGTTGAAAGCATAGTTTGTATCTTGTTTTACTGATGTTTAAATTCATAAGAACATAGGAATAACAGGAAACCCTCCATCACTATCCCACTTACTTCTCACTTCAACACAACTGTTCTCACACCCACCAGTGGCCAAACGACGGCCATGAAAGGATTCTTCTGCCTTAGACTAGGGGTGAAACGACATTCCTTAAAACCTCCGGATCATTTCCTAAATGCCACATTACAGGGGGAAAAAAACAAACAAAGCAAAACAAACTCTGGAGGGGCATGGCTTTGTAGATGCCTAGGAAGTAAGCAACATTTGCCCTGACTTGACAAGCCATCTTATATTTTTGTTTTGTTTTTACTAACGTTATTGTAATGAGGATTCCAGCAGTAGAGCTTCATGAGCCTAAGGAATCATAATTGGCCAGACCCAGGCACTTTAATGACATAAACCAACACTATGGGCCCTTTTTCTAGTTCCTGTATTTTGAAGTCTCTCTATCCTTAAGCAACTGCAATTGTTTGATATTGTCCTTGTCATTATGAGCATGTAGCAACACCTTAGAACCACATTTCATTTGATAAAGAAAACAAAGATATGCTATAATTCTTGCATCTCAGATTTAATGAGAAATCCGTTTCTGTTAGGAAAGGTAAATTGCCTTCTGTGTTTGCATTTGTGAGTTAATTACACAGAGATTTGAGTGGAGAACATTCTCCACTCAAATCACTTTCTTTCTAGCCTCCTAACCTTGATAGTTGTACAGTGGAAATCTTGCTGACTATTATTTAGACCAGAATTCAGTAAAGTTTTATGATCTTCCTGATGCTTGGTCATTTTTGAGCTAAAAGATAAACCTCTATGTACATAACTTAATTATCTGTATCATAAAATAGAAAGGGCCATCAATCCTGCTTTTTTGTTTTTCAGCCCTTACAGTGAGATTTCTTACCAAGCGATTTATTGGGGAATATGCTTCTAATTTTGGTAAGTCTTTACTTTAGCCTTTTTCACCCTAAAATTTCATATCATAATTAAATAATAATTAAGATCAGAAAATAATTTTAATGGAAACTTTAACTTTTACACTTTAAAGCAACTTATTTTTTTCCCCACAGATTCTGGTTAGAAATGCCAAAATAAGTACTTGAACTGATAAAATTCATCTAATTTCAGGTTAACTGAGATGGATTAGAAAGTCACTTGGTTTCAGTTTAAAACTAGCAAAACATTAAAACTGAGATCCACCCCCCCTCAAAAAAAAACACATATTGTAGAGCAAGTGAGTATGAATATTTTTGTAAGCTATGAATCAGTTTTGAAATTAAATCAGCATCTGTTGAAAGAGAAGGGCAAATTAATTATAAAAGCACAAGTAACTTCAAAATAAGCTTTATTTTTATTGCAAAACTGTGTGAAAATAGCAGGAAAATTATGTCTTGATTAAAGATCACATCTAATTATCTAGGTTGCTTATGTAAGTTTCAGAGAAATTCTAAAACAGATGTCAGGGTAACATGATATAATTTTATTATTTTGATCAGGATTAACATGACATATGGGAAATATCATGGTGGGGAACTAATAAAATGGGGAATGTTGCCAGAGGTTTGAGTATAATTTTGGCTCAGCAATTAATTAACATAATTATACTAATATCTTACCTGATTGAAGATATGGGGAAAATGTGTTGGCTTTTAATTTAAAAAGAATGACAGAGTTATAAGGAGTGTGAAAATTGGGGATAAATAGAAAATAATTATTATGTTCAATAATACTTATTTAGAGTAAAAGGGAATTATGATAACAAGTGTGTTTTCCATGAGAAATAAATATAAACAAAAATCTTTAGCATTCAATTATGAGATATCACTTTTAGAGTATTTTAGAAAATAACTTTAGAAAGTATTGCATTGTGTTGTTTTCTACATATACATTATAGTATTTCAGTACATATGACAATGTGAACATCTTAGGACAAGTGCTTGAAACTGGTTATAGAAAGAAGAAATATATAGAAACAGAAATTCTCATTGTTTTATTTCTCAGGTCAGCAATCTCAGTCAAAAAGGTCAACATAACACATAAGCTAGCAGTCAGACATGAGAGAATGTTCCAGAACTACAAAGCCAAACATAAATAAAAAAACACCTCAAAAACAATAGCAGTAATAATGAAAAAAATACCACCTTAATCTTTTATAGGATATAGTTTATAAACAAAGTATACACATTTCTGGTTGTTACATCCCTACTAAGAATATGAGACCTAGAGACATTTTGAAAAGATCACTGAATGAGCAAAAGGTGACCACTGTATGAAAACAAACTAGTTAAAAATGATTCCATCTTGTAAATAAAGACTAGAAGGAGAAATAATAAAATTCTAAAAAGTTAAGAGTTGATGACTCCTGCTGGCTGTTGTTGAGTTTTGAGGTGGACTTAAAAAAAAATGTCTAGAAGAAAATTTTATAGTTCACAGTAGTAAACTTAAGTGAAGTTTAGAAGGCATTGTCTGAAAACATATTTTAAGATTTAATGAAACTATATTAATTTCATTAAATGTAACATAAGGATTTTAAAACTCATTCATAACTTTTGAGGTTGGCTCACCAAATTTCTGCTACAACTTCCTGCTATGAGTTACAGAGAGTTTGCCAGAATGGGTCATGATTTAGTGTCAATATTCCATTTTGGAGAGAAGTGGATATTTATTAAAACACTGGAGGAACAGTTACAGAAATAAAATCCTTCATTCATTCAAGAAATATTTATTGCACACCTGCCATGTCCCAGGTACTCTTAGAGGTAAAGAGGTTATAGCAATGGACAACAACAAAAATGAAACAAATATCCAAACTCTCCTAAGTCTTACATTCTGGAGGGAAAGGTTAGTCAATTAAAAAACATTAAATATAAACTATGATGAAAACTATGAAGAAAAAGAAAGCATGGGGTAGTGGCCTTATATTGTATGTGATAATATATAATAGGGTGATCAGGTTCTACCCAACTGAGGAGATATTTGGAAAGAGACATCAAGGTGGTAAAATTGAACCATGAAGATACTTGGGGGATTCCATTCCAGCAGAAGAAACAATTATCAAAGTTCTGAGGCAGGAACATTCTAGGAAATGTGAGGGACCGAATGCAGGATGGAGTAGCTAAAATGGAGAGAATTTTAGGGGCAAGAGCCAGGGAGGTCTATTGAGGTCATAGAAGTAATAGGAGACTAAATAATCAGCTACATTCTCAGGCATTTTAAAGGTTTTGGTTTATCCAAGTGAGATGAGGAGCCATTGGAGCACTTTGATCAGACAAGTAACTTGATCTGGTTACAAGGTTCACTCACATTTGCTTCTGTGTTGAGAATAGATTAGGCACAAGAAAGGAGTAAGGTGAGGGATGAAGCAGAGGGGTAAATTAGAAGGAGTGGTAATAATATAGGCAAACAATGATGGTTTTGACAATGTGTTAGCAATGGTGGTGATGAGAGGCTGATAAATTCAAAATATACTTTGACTGTAGAGTGAAAATGAATTTTTAACAGAATAAATATGAGATGTAAGAGAAAGAAAGAATCAGGGATGATATTAAAGCTCTTAATCTGAGAAACTAAAGTTAAGGACATGCCATTTAATGAAATGGAAAATTGTGGAAGATGCAGTCTTAGCAGGGAGATGTCCATTGTGTATCTAAGTGAAGATGTCCAATTGTAGTAGTTGTTCCTATCTAGAGTTCAGGAAAGAGGTCCGGGCTACAGGTATAAATTGGATTCATTAGCAATAATTGTTACATAACGTCTGACTGGATGCAATTATCAAGGGAGTGAGAATAGGGAGAGAGGATATCCATAAACTGGATTCATGTTTGGAGTGTGGGAAGACATGTATGGCAGGTCAAATAAAACAAAAAGAGTAATTTGGAGCAATAGGGAACAATGCAAAAACCAAAAGAGTGTGTTGCCTTGAAAGACATGTTAAGGAAGCCTTTTAAGAAGGCAAAAGTGATTAACTACTTATGCTGCTGATAGAACAAGTAAAATCAAGGCACAGAAACTGACCATTGTGTCCAAAACCATGACCTTGGTAGGAACAGTTTGAGTTAAGTAATTGAAGTTAAAGCTTGATTGAAATAATTTGAAGAGCATGGGAGGAGAAAAAGTGGACACGGGGTGTATAGATGCTTACCAAAAGGCCAGCAGAGAAATAGGGCAACAGTTAAAAGATTGTGAAATCTAAAAGATTGTCAAGTTAGGAGAAGTACATTTGTCATGATACATTCAGTGAAGAGGAAAAATTTATGATGCACAAGAGAGATGTAGAACTTGTGAGGCCATGTCTTTTATAGGTCAGATGAAATGCTGACTAGTTCATAGTGAATGGATTGGCCTTAAATAGAAACACAGATAATTCATCAATAGTAATAGGATGGAAGATAAATATATAAGCACAAAGGCATGCAGCTGAATAGGTTTAGCGAATTTCACTTGTGAGAAACATACTAGTATATGAACAAATACAACAAATACATGTTTTTTTTTACCACTAGCGATAAATGAAAGCCACTGTAAAACTCCATTAAAATATGACAGCTTGAATTTTCAACACTGTAATCCAAATATAGGTCCATTTTTTTTTATTCTGGAGTATTTCCATACTGACAATGAACATATGCATATTTTGCAGAATCCATCTATAATAAGCATTTGTGTTTGGAAGGGAAGCAACTGAATCTAGAAATATACGACCCTTGTTCTCAAGTAAGTAAAACAACATACTCTTTTATGTTTTCAATCATTATTTGAAGAAGATTGGATAAGGGTCAGTGTAAAGTTGCCAGTCTTCAAACTAAATTTTCTTTTTTTATCTTAATTATTAAAAATTTAAGAGATTTCCCCTTCAATTTTGAATGATAGCCTTGCTGGATAGAGTATTTTTAGTGTTATGAATTATCTAGCTTCTCTGTTAAGTATGATTAAACTATCATATTATAAATATCTTTAAAATACAAATATTAGTCTGGATTTATAATATACTATAGGCCTGGTGCACGAATTCATGCACCAGTGGGGTCCCTTGGCCTGGCCTGTGGGATCAGGCCAAAACTGGCTCTCCAACATCCCCCGAGGGGTCCCGGATTGTGAGAGGGTGCAGGCCAGGCTGAGGGACCCCACTGGTGCACGATTGGGGCCAGGGAGGGTGCAGGAGGTTGGCCAGCCAGGGAGGGACCGTGGGAGGGCTCCAGGGCATGTCTGGCCCATCTCGCTCAATCCCGATCGGCCGGACCCCAGCAGCAAGCTAACCTACCAGCCGACTGTCTGCCCTCAGGTGGTCAGTGCACATTATAGTGAGCAGTTGAGCGGCCTTAGCATATCATTAGCATATTATGATTTGATTGGTTGAATGGACAACCAGATGACTAGACACTTAGCATATTAGGCTTTTATTATGTAGGATTTCTATCAGGTCACAATGTAGCTGTTAGAAGTTAATAGTTTAATGGCTTATCATTCAAGTTTATATTTTCACTGTTTCCTTTGTGACTAATCACTGTTGATCAAGCATAAAATTGATTTTGAATATATACTTCTTTGTTTAATCAAATACAAAAATGTGAAAATAGTATTATATAAATGACAGCAATTCAAGATTTCAAAACAACTCCATGGGACAGATTCTTTTACTTGATGAAAATCTACCTTAAATCATTTGAGCTAAACCTTATCTTTTTTTACTGATTTAAATATAGCACCCAAATCAATAGATACTCTATTTATTAATATAGATAGAAAATATTATATCTTTTCAAAAATGCATGTGGATATTTATTCAAAAGACAACTATAGCTTATCAATTTTTCAAAGAAAGTTGAGATATTTTCTTAGAGAAAAGTTGTAAAATGAGGTAGATATGACTTTATGATAGATTATATTTTAAGGACTTTTAATCAAAAAGAATGATGAGGAAATACACTACATTTTAGAAAATACCAGTGTTTGGCTTATTGAATTCTCTTCTAAATGAAATCTGTCTTCATTAATTAATTCTAAAGTGTAAATACAGGTGTCAGATTCCACCACTTTCAATGTGCTTGGTTTGTTTGCAGCCACAGAAAGCAAAATTTTCCCTCACAAGTGAGCTGCATTGGGCAGATGGATTTGTTATTGTATATGACATCAGTGACAGGTCTTCATTTGCTTTTGCAAAAGCACTGATCTACAGAATTCGGGAGCCACAAACTAGTCATTGTAAAAGGTAAGACATTTCTCATTCCTCTCCTTTCTTTTTAGTAAATCATCATAGAGCTGTAAGCATCATTAGGAAGAGTTTAATACAGCCTTCCAATTACAAAATTTAACAGCCCTGAACAATTCACCTTCCATTCCACAGGAGTTATACATGTAGTAAAAGGACTAAGATGAGAATACTTTATATCCTGGATGACATAAACAGTTACTTGCCCTGAATAAATGGCTATTTTACAAGACAGCTTCTATTGTTAACATGACACTCACTTGCAAAATAATGGTCCTTTGTACACAAGATAGTTCGCTTTCCAACCTTTTCTTTTTATTCCCACAAAAATGTTAAGGATACTAAATAAATCCAGATTTATTACATTTGTCATCCAATTTCTAGTCATTCGGTTGTTCAATCTATTAAAGCAAAATAGACAGCATAATGAAACCTATACAAATTCTAAGTTTGAGAATACATTTTTCTTCATTTCACCTCCTAAAATAAATAGGTAATCAACAATTGCCAATTAATTGTCTTGACAAAAGTAACTATGAAGAAAGACATAACTGTGCCTTATTGCATTAGTAGATATAAGTTTAAACATATAAATTACCTACTTTAATTTTTTTGTTTCATAGCCTTTCCCATTTAAAAATGTTTATTTTTATTCAAAATGCTGATGTAAGGGTTTCTGTGTGCTCTTAACCAAATTTGCCCTTAATCTAAAATAACATTCTAAACTGAGAAGCAAAAAAAGCACAATACTAGTGATTTTTATATCTATTTTAAATGCCCACTATCAAGAAACCATCAGATAATAATTGATAAAAGATATTTCCCTGGAGTCAGTTGATGTAAATTCTTGCTATATCTGATTGACCTTAGGTAAATCCTTTAATCTCTAAGACCTAATTTTTCTGATTATAAAACTGATGGAGGTATGTTAGGAGGAAAGTATGTGATGTTACTAGGGTACCCCACAGCTCTGATATCCAATAATATTACTGTGTGGTTTCTTTAAACATCATTGTTTCAAGCATTAAATGTTTTATTTGAAAGCATCATGACTTAGGTAAAGGACAGAGATAATCATCCTTTGATAGTCCTCCAAATCAAAGTAAGCACTCAAGAATACAAAAAAAAAAATACAAAAAACAACAACTGTCTTTAACATTTCCAGACAATCTTCTTAATGTCCTGACTAAATAATTTGTAGAGTATTTTTCAATCTGTATAGACTAGAAAATCAACATGACATTGTTTTATTAAAATTACATCCCATATTTGTGACCCACCTTCAAAATATTTTACAATTCCCCATTAATTCTTTACAATAATTTTCTAAACTATGTAGAAAAAGTTATTATTAATAATACCCTCAAAAATCTAACGCATACAGTGCTTTTGCCCTCGTGGCTCATACTGTTATATGAATGAAACTAACTCTTAGTGGAATCTGAGGACAATACCTTTTCAGATAGAGATGATTACTGCATTTATTCAATTCTTTCCTATAGTAGATATCTTGGCAGGGTTTCTCACCACTTATGAACTAGTAATCTTACCATGTTCTTTAAACAAACTCTGTTTTAAGAATGTTCTGTTGTAACAAATGAGGATACACTGATATTTGCCAAAGACATTAACTTAACAAGGAAATATATTTCTTAAATAAACAGAAAAATTGTACAAGGTCATGAGATTGTGAAATTTTTTCTTTAGTATGTGATAATGGATATTAACAAAGAATAAACAGCAATGAGAATTGAATAATATTATATCTTATTATATATCTAAATTGTCCAATCACAGTAGCTCTTTAATAATGAGTTAGTCCTCTTTCAATTGATAAGAAAAAGAAAAAAGATATTTATTAAGCATCTTTTATTGCTTGGCACTGTGCTAGGTATTTTTATATACATTATTTCATTTCATTTCAATGAGAATTCTCTGTGATCATGACTATTCTACTATTTTTCACATATAAGGAAAATGAAAATTGGAAAAATAGTAATTATGCCTCATTAGTAAACAGAACCATAATTCAAGAATAACTTTGTGTCACTTCAAATTGTATGCTTTAAGAGCCTTACTGCTTCTGTGTCATTTACTACATTCTATCTGAAATAATTGTTGTGCATACATGGGGATATGTGTCAAATGCACATGACCATAAATAACACATATTATTTTTTGTCTGTTTTGGTCCATAATTATTTTTTACATAAACCTACGTAATCCTATATAATAAAAGAGTAATATGCAAATAGACCGAACAGTGGAATGACCAGTCACTATGATGCACACTGACCACCAGGGGACAGATGCTCAATGCAGGAGCTGCCCCCTGGTGGTCAGTGTGCTTCCACAGGGAGAGAGCCGCTCAGCCAGAAGTTGGCTCACGGCTGGCCAGAGCAGTGGCGGTGGCGGGAACCTCTCCCACCTCCACAGCAGCACTAAGGATGTCCGCCTGAAGGCTTAGCCCACTCCCCTGAGTGGGCCTAAGCTGGCAGGTGGACATCCCCGAGGGCTCCTGGGCTGCCAGAAGGCACAGGCCGGGCTGAGGGACACCCCATCTGAGTGCAGGAATTTTTGTGCACTGGGCCTCTAATTAAAAAATAATTTTTAAAAACACTCTTGCCAAAAAATTATGTATCTGTATTTCAGAGTTGTGGAATCAGCAGTGCTTTTGGTTGGTAACAAGCAAGATCTCTGTCATGTGCGAGAGGTTGGCTGGAAAGAAGGGCAAAAACTGGCATTGGATAACCGGTGCCAATTCTGTGAACTGTCTGCAGCAGAGCAGTCTTTGGAGGTAGAAATGATGTTTATCAGAATTATCAAGGACGTCCTGACAAACTTCAAACTCAAAGAAAAGAGAAGATCCAGTGGATCTAGATCAATGGCCAAATTGATCAATAATGTATTTAGAAAGAGAAGGAAATCTGTTTAGTAGATATGTGATCTCGAGGGTTTATTATATCAGAGAGTTTCATTCATATGCTAATTGAATTTAACTTTGTTTGCAATTTAAAAAATATTTTAGAGATATAAAGTGATTGAATGTGAACCACAGCTGTGTTTTTCAATATATAGTTTGCCTTTTTGGTTGTTTGCATTTTGTACACTCTGCTTCACACTTAAACTTCTCTTTATACACAAAATCACCTTCAGTATAAATTATTGGTGGATTACTATACAGTTTGCTTGCAAATGAACATTGCTTCTGTAATTTTATTAAACTACCATTCTACAGTCCTGTTTGCCTTTATTTTATGCATTTCTTTAGAATAAACATATGGTTATATTCATGTATTTCATATTTTGTAGGGCTTAATTTATATACCTGTGGAAACTTCATGATCTGTTTAATAGAAATACATGAATTTAATTTTTAAAATGTCTTCATGATAATCCATTGAGTTACTTGATAATACACACATATTACTTATAACTTAGGCTTTAAGAAGTTAAATGTTTTGCCCATAAGTACCTAGTTTGTAGTTGGTCTGATGTTGAAAAATCTCTGCTTTGCTTTGTATGCTATGCTAACAAGGGCAATTATAACAGAGAAATTAGCTAATATAGCTAAGATCCTTTTGGGATCAAAAGATTAGTCTTTTATAGTTCATTTAGGAATCATACATGATAAGGAAAGAAAAAAGTAAGAACTGATTGGTAAATATATAACCTTTAAGGACTTATTTCCTTGAAAGAAATATTGCATTAGATACAAACATTTTAGGCCTTCCCAGATTACTTTGAATTTCCTTCTGAAGTCAACCAACTACCTCATGGACTTTATTGCCGTTGCTCCTGCCTTTGCTAAACTTGCCACCTACTATGATTTTCAGCCAAATCGCTGAAAATTAAGGTTAAGTATTAGAGAAGTTAAACTGGGAGTACAAACAATCTACTACATACTTGGTTACCATGTAGCATCAGTAACCTGGGGAAAAGGGTGGAAGATCTTGAGTAGAGGGTGATACTATAGGAGTTGGGGTAGGGTGACTCAGAATATTAGGCTGGGTAGGAAGGAATTCATTGACTTGGTGTTACTCACTATGAGTCATGATTCAAATCTTTAGGACCAACACCTAGGGCTCATTTCTATAGCTTTGCTGTTCATTAGAAGTCTAACCTTGATGATATGCTAGAGTAAAAGTGGTGCAAATAAAAGAACTTTGTGTGGTGGTATACAAAGCCATTCATAATGCTCATGAAGATGGAGGAGTTAGACTTGATATGGTAAGTTGGACCTAAGCACCCACCATTTGACTGGGTTCTCTGGGACAATTCAAGGGAACTTTGAAGTGAGGAATGCACTGGTGAGGGGCACAGGCAACTCTGAGAAGCTTAACAATGACTGTGCTCTCCAGGTTAGAGTTGACAATAGGAAGGCTGCCATTGAACTGCAGTCCTCAATGCTGATGATAGAATCCTGGAACAGCAGGGTCTGATGACAGCATTGAACCCTTCCTATTATGCATTCACTGTCATAGCCAGGGTTGAGGATCCATTTTGATACTCCTGGCTGGTTGGAAACTTAAAAGTGGCATGCTCCATGAGCTGTATTGAGGCAAAGTCCATATTGTGGACGCATGCATTGCTTCCATCCCTGCCACCAGGGCTGCTGTTATCATGGGTCCATTACATAAGCACAGCAGTGGTCAAGAAAAGAGACAGGTGATCTGCAGGGCAGGTTGTCCTGTCCATCCGGTTGTAATGTGACTTCTCATTGGTGGATGCTGTCTGGTGGGCATTAACATGATACACAAAGATCTGTATATTTTATGCCCTCTCTGAGAGATTCATTCACATGCTTTTTCTCCTGTTATTCTTGTAGCGATTCTCCCAGTCTTTCCTCTTCATTGTACAAAATAACACTCAGATATCTATCTCTAACCAATTGGCAAAACTATGATCCCTACCTAGAAATCTGTACCACATGACACCTTTCCCACTATACAAGGTAGACAACAAAGTGTACTTCTTGAAACTCTAACAAATGGGATAATTTACTTTCACTGATGAACTTCATGGTTACCTTCATGTGGGATGCAATGAGGCACAGCTCTCTTTTGGCACTAATACATCAAGCTTAAGTGAGTAAAGCTTCTTATTAACTAGGAATGTTTAGATTAGATTGCTATGTAAATGAGAAATGAACCTCTAGTGTAAAGAATTATTCTGGTAAAGTCAATGATATACTTTTTTGGTCAACTATTGGAATTTTATTAATATTGTATAATCTTTGTATGGACTACATATGTATTTACATATATACATGTATCCCAGTTTAAGCAATTGCACTTTAAATTTAGTTTTGTTTTATTTTATTCTTAGTTTTCTCCTGGATAATCTTAGTTTTAGAGATTTGGTTAAAATTATTTTCCCAGTTACAGAATGATTCTTTGGGGATAGTATTGCATTAAAAACAAAATATTTATCCATAGTATATGTAAGGACTCTATTGTAAATATGGTATGGAAATTCTTTCATAGATTAGCTGTGTATATGTATCTGTGATGTGTCAGAGTGCAAAATTTCTCTGTTAAAGTTATTACAAAACTTTATTATACCTTGATTTTTTTAGCAGTATCACTTGCTTACATTATTATAAGTATTTTATGAAACATAGTAATAATAACAAGTGCCAAAAAGAGGGAGAGATGTGTTAATTAACTTGATTGTGGTAATCATTTCACAATGTATACATATATCCAAACATTCTGTTGTACACTTTAAATATATTACAATTTTACTTGTCAATTGTACCTCATTAAAGCTGGAAAATCACCATTGTTTTACAGTAAAAACCGAATTTACATTTTAAGAGGTAGTTTCTATGAGGCAACTTTAGAAATGAACTGCTGATTTTTCTGAGTGAAATTTAAAAGTAGTTGGATAATTTCTGCTTTTGGACAGTTTCAAAACACGTTCAGACATTTTTTGGACACGTCTCCCTTTAAAGATTGAGTCCAGTTCTCCTCCCTTGCTAATGGATTATCCTTATTGACTCTATTTTAGCAAATTGAATGAGGTAGAAATAACGTGTAGGGCTTATGAGACCGGGTTGATAAAGGAGCTAGAGTTCCAATCCATTCTTCCATCTGTCTTCGTTTTGGGACCCATGAGTCAACATATATGAGTCTTGCTTCCCTGAAGGCACCAGGCTGGAGCTACTGTAAGGGGTTAGTGATCACACAACCACCAAACATATCAGCAAATGTTCAGGTAACTCCAGTCTCTAACCTTGCACTCCCACAGCAGATGCCAGATGGAACAGGAGTGAGTTATCCCCACACAATTTTGCCCCATATGCAGACTTGTGAGTGTATTAAGTATCATTGTTGTTATGGGGTTGTTAAACCATCATGTTTTAGTGGTGTTACATGGCAACTAGAACAGATGATTCATTAAAACTTTCAGTAACTCAGTCGACATGAAATGCTTGCCTTTCTTCCTGGGAATAAACAGGGTGAAAAAAGGATTCTTCTGAACAGATTTCGAAATCATCTACAACATGAAGTTGTCCCAATACCAGTTTTCTTGTAAATATAATTCACATGTAAAGCAACTTGCAAACCTAAAAATAATAAAGTGCAGTTTTCCAAAAACTGTAGTAACCACATCTACTCACTGAGAAACAAATACATCAACATTAGGCCACGAATGTTGCAGGTTGAGGATCGCAAGTGTCTCTATAAATCTCCGAGATAGTTAAGCTGTATCACTAGGCCGGGAATTGCCTGTGCTGCTTCTAGTAAAAAAGGTGCTGTCATTCATTTTGGATGAGCTTCAATGAGATAACACATAATGAGGGGCAACAGCTGAGGAAGGGAATGCCAAAAGGGAGGGGCTTCTGAAATGGTTTTGATTTAATACAAGGCATGCACTATTAATAAAGAGGTTGAATGATACCTGTATGTTTTATAGGTTTATAAATTGGCTGTAGTAAAATATTTTACATCTTAGATCACTAGGTATTGTTTCAGCTTATTATGGGAGATATCTATCTAGAGTTGACTGAATTGTATTAATCTGAACCTAGTTTAATGATGCCTTAACATTTTTATGGGGGAATTTAATGTTTGCAATATCCATGTTCCTTATTTGAAAGCGTGACTTATAGGTTTCTCATCTTCCTTAAATTATGAAATCCTTCGGCTAATAAAGGAAAATGATTATAGTTTGCAAAAAAGGCAAAGTCATTTAACAATCCATATAACTGTCTATTGTAGGACTTTGCATAATAATTGTAATTTAGCTATTAGGGATTCTAAAGGCAGTTATCAGTCATACTCTACAATTCTGGGGGAATCAGGCAAAGCCCAAATTATTGAAAGCATTTTAAATTCTCAAAGAAAAAAACAGAAATACTATAAATTGAAAATATACTCTTCAGTGACAACATATTATTTTCAAAGCAAAGAAGTTCATCATAATTTTCAAATGTATAAACCACCAAACAGATTATTTTTCTTTCCTTTGGATCAAGATATAATTTAAGTTTATTTCTAATAATGGAAATATAAGTTCTTCTAAGGAGGGAATTAGCAGACTATGAAGTATCAGTGGCAATGTGGGATCTGCAGATTTTAGTAATCCTGGAACAACTAAGGCATAAGGAGTTAAGAAAAAAAGAGGAAAATGAAGAAGATTAAGAGATGGAATTACTTGCCATAATATGAAAGTATGAGCATGTTATCTCTGTATTTTTAGATCATTTTAAAGGACTAAAGATGAATATTTAACAGCTAAACACATGAAAACATTTCAAAACACACATTAAATTAGATTGATATTGTTACCAGATGTAAAGTTACTTTCTTGGTAATAAATTATTTTGGTTTTCAAAGTTTGGTAGTATTTCTATATACAAACACATCTGGAGTTAAAATTCTGGGATTGAGCTGGAGGTAAAATGTTTAATTTATTCAAACAACAATTATAAAAAGTAACCTGTGCATTGACTTTTATCAGAATATTTTTATCCTATAGCTAAAGAACTCTCTATATTACTCAATTTGTTATTCTCCACAACAGAAGAGGTTTTGAGCAAATTTTTTTCAAAACTAGTTTCATCATTCTAAATTACTATTTTTAATAACATCTTTTTGAAGCTAAACATATTTGCTTGTAGATTAAGACTTACACACATATATGCATTTGTGTATATATGTGTATATAGATACATCACTAGTTATACTATATATCATCAGTAAGTGATATGTATTAAAGAACTT